AGGGGAGGAACTTAATTAGGTATTAATTTCGGGCGCGGGCTGCCCAAAAAATTTGGGCGCCCACGCCCAAAAAATTTTCCCCGACATAGTTTTTAGCGACGGAAATTCCGTCGCTAAAAACTAATTAGCGACGGAAATTCCGTCGCTAAAAATAAGATTTTAGCGACGGAAATTTTCCGTCACTAAACCTTACTATTCCGTCGCTATATCTATTTTAGCTACGGAATAATAGCGACAGAATTTTCCGTCGCTATAAACTAACATATAGCGACGGAAAAATCTGTCGCTATTATTCCGTAGCTAAAAACTTATTTTCTACTAGTGTGAAGACGTGCACTAACTCTAATCCTTGTCATTCGAGTTTGTAGTTTAGGTATACCCTTGTAATTTGCAATTGATGAAAATGAAATTCAATTCTGCTTCTCTACACCTTTTAGAGGAAAATAATTCAATTCAACTGAATTCAGCTCAATTCAACACCACTTACCAGTAGTAGTTCGTTCTGTGGTGACAACAGTACTACTAGAATTCAGTCCATCTGCTACAGAATTTTGGCATTCTTGATTGGAAGTTTGCAGACGAGTACGTTTTGTACCTGTTAGCATACACACTTGTTAGATAAGTAAAAACTAACAATACTTAAATATTCTAGCAGTAAAATGAAGATTGCATATTTACTCGGATTAGAACCGGATCCATTCCCTGTAGAATTCATGTATGGCAGATAACTAGTTGTTGCATGAGAATGTTTCTTTTTCAATAATTCTGGATGTGATTGATTACTTGGTGCATTACCTGTTGTTACATAAACGTTAAATTGATAATAATATTCTAATCAACCAAGTGAATGAATCATGAATTATAAGAGAAATATGCACTACTTACCAGAAGTAGAACTCTGAAAGATAGGCGCTTTGTTACGGTATATCTTCTCACTGTTTATTATCAAACAATTAGAATGGTCAAAATGCAAAAGAATGTAACATTCAGCTATTTGAATCGTTACCATGTTTATATAAGTCTCAAAGAAATTTTTCTACTATTCTTGCTAATGATTGTATCTTTTTTTGGCAGGGCTGCTGATAATCAGGTACGTGGAACTTTTAATTACATCTCCAGAAATGCATATCACAGAAATTCTCTTAGCTGTAAACCAACTTTTCATCAAAGTAGATTTGTTGGTAAGGAAAATAGAAATTTAAGTTAATGCAAAATGATTGCCCGTTGGTCTGTTAACTGAGTTACAATAGGAATTAGAGGATTTGTTGAGATATTATCTAGCTGATAACTATCATTGTAATTGAGGGTATACGTCTTTTTCCAATCTCATTTCCCAAAATAATTTTAGTTTACAACACGTGAAGTGAGAAATTCCAATAATCTAGACTTGGAGTTGCCATAGAAACTAGTGTAGTTGAGGGCTCAGTGGATAAAGTTCATATACAGAACTGAGTTCATACACACCCTTCCGAAGCTAACACAAAAAATAAAAAAGAAAAATACCCGCTACTGCTAGCTGCAATAGTGGAAGATAATGTTTGACTTGTAGTTGAGCTGGAGGCTGAAGTGCTTGCAGAAATCAATGAAGAAGTGCCTACAAAATAGAATCATACAAATCAATATTCACAATACAAAAGGCTCATATGCATGCTTATCTTCACTAACTATTGGCAAGGAAGATCAAAAGTTGAGTTGCATGGACAAGTATCAATGACAAAAAAACGAGTGAAAAACTCTAGATACAGAAAGTAATCGATGCAAGCAAAACTATATATATTCTTCAAGAAAAGAAAGGGGCATACTAAAGATGATATCAGACTCTGCCCAATAACTGGTCGCATTGACCTTTCATGACAAGAATCAATGTGAACATTCAGTAATATTGGTGAGATTATGATTATCAAACCTCAGAAAAAAGCAAGGAATAGAAATGGAGGGAACAGAAGTAATGGCTTTTTTTATATGTCGAGGGAACAGAAGTAATGGCTTTTTTTATATGTCACTAACAAGTCTAATGATTGATATTAGTTCCACAAAATTTTCATGATTGACATGAATTGAACACAAAAAAACAACAAATCAAATGCATGCATTTTCAAGCGGCTATAAAGTAAAACTATCCATGAACTTTTGAAGCAACAGAACTTTTGAAGCTTTTAGACGCTCATGCAGTAAGGTAAAACATTTACAAGAGCAACATTACTGACTGTTTATTGTTGGAAACGTCTTGAAACATCTTAATTGAGAATTTGAAGAAGAACTAAGTCAAATAATTATAGCAAAGAACATTGCATATCTATAGTCCATCAATCAGTTTCCGTTTGATGGTCACCAGGTGGTAACTGCATACAAAAAATTCATCAACTACTAGAGGCAACATGACATAAAGGCAGTTGCAACTTGCATGAGAGTGAGACAGAAAGAATAGCCCCTAGAAAACAACAGTAATCCAATAAATGTCAAATCACAATGAAGACATGGATGAGGAACTTACTTAGGACTTCACATGCAGTCCGAAGACATATCAACTACAAGAAACAATCCAGTTCATACCAAGATCACGCAAGCATGAGAAAGCTGGAGGTCTAACAGCAATTTGTTGTCAATGGTCAGTACAACTCACACAAAAGCATTATTGTTGGGCTGCATTTACAGCATTAGATATGAAAAAACAAGGAATCCCTAGCAAACCTGCTGATCAACTAACTATACGCACATAAATTCAACAAAAAAAGGAATCCCTAGCAAACCTACTGATCAACTAATTATAAGCACATAATAGTCGGACTATTCAAGTCTGTATCAAGATGCTCAACAGAGACATTATTTCCAAGAGCATTTGATACAAATCAAAATGTTTGGAATTGTAACTATCCAAAAGGATGAGATGATACAAAAAAAATGCAATAGATAAATTTTTCTGTCATAAATGCATCTCTTAGGAATAAATGTGGTAACCAGTTAAAAAGAATAAGCGACTGCTCAAAATGTGTGATGGGTCATATGGAGATGAGAATACTGACAGGATTATTTAATCTTCTATGAAGAAAAACATAGAATTTGACCGGTTAACTTCAAATCATTAACTATTGCATGAATTGATGTTCATGTCATCATTTCGGATGATTGAAAAATATCTTTAAGAATACCTACTGGGCATGATAGTTTAGGTACAATTCTCAAGTCAAAGAACAATGCATGAACTGTATATAAACAGGATAATAAAAACTAAAAAGACGGAGAAAGTATCTGACCCAAGAAGCAATATAACGACAGAGCATCATTATTCATTAGTGAAGGAGTTATCAAGCAAAAACACTTTAGAATACATACCCTTAAGGACAACCAAGTTATTTGCATGCCATATTTTACCCATATAGAATACATGCCTTAATCATACCGTATCATTCTTCTCCTTTCGTCTCTACTTGATTCGTCGGTGTTGAACCATTTACACTTGAGTATCATTCTTCTCCTTTCGTCTCTACTTGATTCGTCGGTGTTGAACCATTTACACTTGAATAAGAAAACTTGATTCATATCTAAGTACGCGTCGGTGTTGAACCATTTACACTTGAATAAGAAAACTTGATTCATATCTAAGTACGTTAACTTCACAAATACTTAGCAAAACACCATAATAATCATGACTTCCGCCAATAAAAACTCCAGGGACATACACCTCACTATTTTGAGTTGTCTGATGATCATCAAGATCTTTTGTATGGTATCTAACTCCATCCACAATACAACTAGTGTACGTATGAACACGTAAATCTGGTTTACATGCTAGACAATAAAGCTTCTCATCAGTTGCATCCATCAATCTGTTTTCTCTTTTTTTAATCATCTATGAATAACAATTGAAACAAGAAAGTTAGCATAGTGGTCATATACAATAACTAACTACTCTTTAAAATTGGGTATGAACTTACTTTTTTTCAAACCAATTAGGGAACTCATTTTCTTGTCTTTCATACAATTTATGGTTACTTGTTTGCCTTAACTCATCCTCGTGTTCCCTACAGGTACAAATTAGATAATTCAATCTCTAATCTGAATTAAAAAAATTGAACTCAATACACACAAATGCAAAAAGACAAATTAGATAATTCAATCTCTAATCTGAATTAAAAAAATTGAACTCAATACACACAAATGCAAAAAAGACACTTACTTGAGATAAGGTTTCACTTAAAAAAATTGAACTCAATACACACAAATGCAAAAAAGACACTTACTTGAGATAAGGTTTCACCTCGTTACAGTTGTATAGTACATACCAATGAACTTTATTCACTTCCTTCCGGTCCAGTAATATTTTTTTTTTCCGCAGAATGGATGAACTTTCTGAGAGAAAATCGATAAAGCATCTACTACTTGGTCATCTTCTACATTGACATTTCGTTCTGCCCGATTGATACGGGTTTCAATCTCACGAAAATACATAGAACAAAATGTCACTGCTTCATTGACAATATATGCTTCTGTAATAGAACCTTCAGGTCGAGCTTTATTTGTAACATACTTTTTATATGTTCCTAAATTTCTCTCAATAGGATACATCCACCGATAGGTAACTGGACCACCAAGCAAAGCTTCACGAGGTAAATGGACTGCCAAGTGAACCATTACATCAAAAAAAGCCGGTGGAAAAATTCTCTCTAATTTGCACAATATTATAACAATCTCCTTCTCCATTCTTTCCAAGTCTGACACCTTTAAAGTTTTTGCACATATCTGTTGGAAAAAATGGCTAGCTCAACAATTGCAATGCACACATCCTTGTCCAAATATGAACGAATACCAACTAGGAGGAGGCGTTGAAGTAAAACATGGCAATCATGACTTTTTAAATTATGTATCTTCCCATCGACAATGTTCACATTTTTGTAAATATTGGCAGCATACCCATCAGGAAATTTGACAACTTTGAGGAACTTACAAAATAGCCTACGGTATTCCATTTTCAAAACATATCTAGCATGAGGCTTCTTCAATTTATTCCCTTGACGTGTGAGATGCAATCCTTTTCTTATCTTCCTATCTGCCAAGTCCAAACGAGCCTTGTTGGTGTCTTTTGTTTTCCCATCTATATATCAACAAAGTACCAATGACACAATCATATATATTTTTTTCAACATGCATCACATCAATATTATGTCTCAACCTGAGCTTGGACCAATACTCTAACTCAAAAAGAATACTCTTTCTAGTCTAGTTTAACTCATGAGGCTCACGGTGTCACTTTAAATTAGGATTGTCAGGATGTTTTCCAGGCTTAGCTTTATAAACACGATCTAATTGCCGCAATATGTCATCCCCAGAAAATAATCTAGGAGGAGGACGATCATCAACTAAACCGTTAAAATCTTTACTCCTTCTCCACTCATGATCCTTAGGCAAATTTCGTCGAGCTCCCATAAAACATAATTTTCCTCTCAACCCCTCTGAAGTTACATCTTCATTACAAAAAGGACAAGCTTTGTACCCTTTTGTGCTCCACCTAGATAAATTTTCGTAAGCAGGAAAATCATTTATAGTCCACAATACACATGCCCACAAATTAAAATTTCTCCCAATAGAGGCATCAAAAGTTTCAACTCCAATATCCCATAATTCTTTTAATTCGTCTATTAATGGACGAAGATACACATCAATGTCTTTCTCAGGTGTTCGAGGACCAGGTATGAGTAATGACATCATTGAATACACTCCTTT